GACCCCCCCCCCCCCCCCGCCCCCGCTCTGCCCCTTCCCGCCTGAGTTTTCCTCTTTCACGCGCCAGGCCCGGTGCGGCAGACGCGTTGCTTTTTAAAGGTGACGATCACTGCTACATGCCACCGTGCGTCCTCGCCAAAGGTCATGGATTATTTCGGATTCGGTTCGATTCGAGATGATCGATTATCGATGGATTCGCGGCTCGACATTGATCTAGACGAAACGACGTAACTTCATTCCGACGCTGCAAAATTTCAACCCCCGAATTTCATTTTTAATAACAAACTATTTGCAATGGCGAGGCGTGAATGATCGATTATAGATATTACCCAATTTGAAGCTGTGGTAAAGAGTCTATTATTGAGGTGTTCGTTGCGAACACCTTGTTTATCGATCCTTTTCTATAGGTTTAAATGGCGGATCAATCGATATATTGCAATGCACGCCGCGTCACTGACTATTGGAACTGGGCCTTGAATACTATTCGAAAATCTCATTAATTTTTTCGGACCACACTAAAAATTTTAGACAGAAATTTCACCGTCATGGTTGCCAAAGTGCGAAACCATGTATCTTTCTCTGAACGTTGCAGGCTTTTTGTAATTTTTTTTTCTTTGAAAAACTAATAAAAGTAATTTTTTGAAAACTTCCCTGATTTTTACTCGATGTTAGCTGCATATTATGTAAGCATTTCAAGCTATAACATTGGTTTTTTTCTTTTTGAAAAAATAAAATAGGAGCGGACATCTTGAAAGACTTGTAACGGAGGTACGTGGTTTCGCACTTCAGCCACCAAAATTTTCGAGCAAAATCGAGTTGTTTGCTTAAATTTTGCAGTATTGGAATGGAGTTACGTTCTCTCCCCTGAGAAACTACAAATTTCAGTATCATCGTTCAAGCAGCTTCCTGTGATTTGAAGTTTTTAACTGCATTTTATTACCGCTCTTTTTCTTCATCTATAACTCCATACCTTTAACTAAAGTTTTTAAACTAGGGGGTACGCCACCTGACTGCTTTGCACCTCAGTCGTTTTGCGTCACGTGTTATTGATATGATTTTTTACTATGGAGTAAGATATATTTTTCAAAAAGAGCTAAAAAGAGGAAGTGACAGTTTCTGATTTCTTTATACCACTGACGCAGATAGGTACAATCACGGAGAGTAAATGTTCGCTTCAAATCGAACATCAAAGTTTTTCGGATCCAGTGCCTAAAGTTTTTGATCCAAGAAACCGAGCTTCAGTTCAACTAACCGATACTCGGTTCCTACAAGTGCAAACGTTGGTTAACTAATTCATCCGGAAAACTCCGGTGTTCAATATGAATCAAAGTTAAGCTCCTGTAACCGATTTTTTTTCTCACAGTGTATGGGGTCATAATGTTCCTGCAAAATCCGAAGTGTAAATTATGTTTGTAAATATACGAACCGTAACATCGGTTGTTTCAATATAATTCAGCACAAAATATAATTTAAAACAATTTTTAATGTATCTTTCTTCCATGACTCATACCATTTTTGAGAGAATCGATTACAATAATGTTTGCATTATTGTAAAACATTATTATTGGTAACATTTTCACAACATGTCATGGCATCTACATAGCACTATGTTTCACTCATCAAAATGGGCACTTTTTGGAAAGGATTGCCCGGTGGAATATTGCTCAATTTCATTCTGTCTCCCCACTTGCGTTTATTACTTACAAGAAGAAGAATTCCTGCAATTATTTTCGATCGTAGGGACTTGATTGTATTTACTTTAACTCCAGGCGTACCCCCTCTGTCCTTTATCATAGCTTTTACTAAAATAGCCAATATACATTAAAAATATAAAAAATTAATAAATAAACTAATGAATAAAATGTGCCTAGCAAGTGATAAGGATTGCCTTCTAATTCTCAAGATCCGTTTGTTATTCGTGTTCTAAAAAATGACGCGAAGTTCCTCGGGGCGAAGAAAATATTCTGTTGACATAGCTCGCGAACTCTCGGAGGTTGGAATAGCGAGCGTCGTCACCAGACGGATCTCACGTAACCTCTAACTCCAGCAGTGAATGATCCCGAGGTCTACGACCCTCCGAAGCTCATTATGCTGTAAAATCTAACTTAAAATACAAAATATTGCCAAATTATATCCAGCTTAAATATACTCCGGAGACGTGGAGGGTGAGGGATATCATGAGGTCGCTGAAATAAAAAAGAAAAAAAAAATCAAAATGAAAACAAACGCATGGTCTTGTCGCGGCGCCTGGAAGTAGGCAGCCGGTGGCACGTGTTGCCGAAGATTTCTTGATCCTACACGTTCACTTTTTAAAGTTGGTATAGTTGGCAAACTAAGTTTCGATCTTTGACTCGCTTTTCCGGGGTGACCGGGGGGTAGGGGGAGGGGGGTCGGCTTAGTAGGGAGAGATGGTCGCTTCAGAAATCGAACGCATGAGTCGTCATTCCGTTCCCATGGGAACGTGCTGGAGGGGGAAAGGCAGGCGGTGAATCCTGGTGGCGTGCGATACGGTCCCGTGAGGCGAGATGCAGGTCCCTAGAGAGGAGGAGTCTTGGTTCTCTGATATTGCTCCTTACCCTTAAGCCCCTCTCTCTCCCTCCCCCACGTAACCACCCACTCCCTCCGTCCATCATTCTCTCTTACTTTCTCCCGGTGTCTCTCCCTTTCTCTTTCGGGGGCATTTTCGCGCCCACTTCCCATCTCTTTCACGCACCCTTCCAAATTACTACCGTTTGTGTGTGTCTGAGCCCGACGTCCTGGTATGTGTGCACCTCCTCCTGGCAGCTTTCTCTCTTCCACCGCCCCGCCGCACAGTAAGGCATCCTTATGGACGATGCGGACATGAATCGGTAAAAGGCACTCAACTTTAACTAATGAAGATAGTACTGCCGTGCTAAAGAAGAACGCCGTATGAACATTCGAGAGTTGCCAACTTTTTTTTACTAAAATGTTTCTTTTTGAGAAAAGTTATGAATATTTTTCCTTGCAATTTTCAGGAAATTTAGGCTAAATTGCGAACAAAATCATCTGAAAAATTGTAAGAAAAATATTCCTTTTTTCACCAGGAAATTCGTGTTTTATCAAAGGAAATTTGGCAACGCCTGGAGGTTCATACGGCGTTCTTCCTTAGCACGGCAGAGTAGCCCCGACATAGGAAACCCCCTCGAAGTAAAATACTCGACGAATAAGAAAATGATACATCTCAGGATTTTTGCGTATTTTTCGAGGAAAGTTCATTCGAAGTTGGCAACCGCGAATCAGCCCTATTTTCACAATGTAAAAGCAACGTGAAACACCCACACTTTAACTTCGAATGTCTCTGAAAGTCGCGAAAATCCGTAAGATCTTTTTGGTAGAATTGAAGTTGGATATCTGAGGATTCAGAAAATGTCAGCTACCCGGACCATTTTGCGATTCAAGTGAGAAATCTTCATTCGAAGTTGACGTCTTTCTCCCGTGTATTTCTTATGGACCGGTGATTCTCGACCCATTTCCCGCCCACTTTCTACCCAAATTTGAAGTAGTTTTGTGCGAAAAATTTGAAAATAAACCATCATTGTCAGTCAGAAATATCCTTAAGATGCCCAACTCCAAAATAAAAATATTCAGATGTCGAGTTGTGAATTTTCGATTTTTGTCCACAGAGGGCGGCACTGTGCGCCGGCTCGCCGCCTCACCCACCGCCGCCGCTTTTAAAGCACTGTATTCTGTCTGTAATGTCGGTGTCTTTCTCTATCTCTCCCCTCTCATCTCCTCACATGCCCCCTCCCCCTCTCCCTCCTTTTTTCATGAGCTGGTATCCGAGTTTTTTCCCTGCCCCCAGCCTCCCCCTCGTCATGATTCTTCATATCAGTTTGCCAAACATTTACCACAAAATGGTGGACTCTGGTGTAAAACCATCTTCGTCCGCGATCCGCCGATACCCCTTGCCGCGGCTTTTGCTCGCTACCGCGTGGAGGCGCTGCTATCGGCAACAGTGCACGACGGCGGCGGACGACCGGGCGTGATTGCCAGGTGCCCCAAAATCCACCATTCCTGGAAGCATTCCCCATGGAGCAAACTTGTATCCCCCGGGGTACGAAGGCCCTTAGTGGGTCCTTACTCGGAAGCTCTCGTGAGTTCCGGGCTGAAACCCATGAATGGGTCATTCCACACTTGCGCGCACTGTGGAATCGCGTTTTGACGGTTGAACTTTAATATTCGCGAAAAAGGTGTGGATGATTCCAAACGTAAAGTTCCAAAGCTTAAAATTAGTATTAACAAAGATCGTCACCTTCCGGGCAAAGTATCACAAGCGCCATGCGACGCTTCAAAATTTCCGCCGCCATTTTATTTTATTACAGAGAAATTGTTGGTTGAATCTGTTTGAAAATTTCACTGAATTTTATCGGCATCGCAAAGAAAATTCAGTGAAATTTTCGGACAGCTTCGTTTAACAATTTCTCTGTAAAAAAATAAAACGGCGGCGGAATTTTTGAAACGTCGCATGGCGCTTGTGATACTTTGACCGGAAGGTGACGAGATATCGCACTCTCAAGATCGTTGTCCCCCTGAAGTAAGGGCGTATCTCACAGTGGCGTGGCGTGCTTTGCGATATATAGATGGATCTGCCATATAAACCTATGAAAAAAAAGATCGATATTCAGGGTGTTCGCAACGAACACCTTAATAATCGATTCTTCACCATACTTTCAAATGGGGAAATATCGATCATCGATAATTCACGCCACGCCACTGGTATCTCAATTTCCTCGTGAGCCCTCTGCTCCATTTAACTCCATGCTCTCCAGAGCTCATTCGAAAATTGAGATTTACTCTTACGTCAGAGAAGCGACGAGATTAGCGATGACGTCATCCACTGTGTTGGTAGGTATGTGCGAATCACCGTCAGTTTCACTTTGACATCATCAATATAAGACGTTAAGCAACCAATGCCAATTTCATTCTTCGATGATTGATAAGACGAAGGAGATATAATCCATAATTTACGGTAATACGCCAAATAACGTCACGTAACGTATTTTTTCGCTTCTTCCGATAAAAAATACTCCATCTGTGTTGGAGGTATGAAATGAATTAACTGTGTTAGCATGAGCGCAAGGCCCGATCATTTCTTTGTGATTGAATCGAGATCTAAGTCAAGAGGCACCGTTAAAGTCAAAGAAAAATATTAAAAGTCGTCCTTATGGAGCCTTTGCTTCTGTTGGAGGTGAAACCTTAGTGTTAGGCCGGATTAAATTATTTGCTCCTATTGTTAAGAGTGAATAGGTAAACTATGGTTAACTGAATCAAGCCGATGGTTGCACTTTCTCCAACGTGTCTACATCCACAATTTCTAGAGTAAAGTAAATATTGTTCTCTCGGCTAGATTAATGCACTTTAATAAATGCCTCAAAAACCGCGAATATTTTGGGATTGGGAAATGTTTCAAAATGTGGGCTGGACCAATTATTTTTGTACCTAAAGATGTAGGAACAAGCCAAAGAACGAACATAGAGAGTTTCGTCCTCAAAGATAATAGAGAATGAATAATTTTCTGTTACAGGTGGTGCTCTCAACTCAAGTGAGCGTGGATGGTCCCTTATTAGCTGTTTCTGATAACATGTTCGTCCATAATAATTCCAAGCACGGTCGACGCGCCAAGAGGTTGGACCCATCAGAAGGTAAGAGTCAAAATGATTAAAGCTAGTATTATCATTGACGATGAAATCTTTATCTCACATCAACGTGAAGAAAATGTTGGGGAGCATTAGTGAGTTTATTCATTGTGCTAATACGAGTATAATTTATCAAAAATCACATCGGGAACCATTCAAAGCTAAGAAAACATCCAGGAGGTGAAAAATTGTCTCGTGAGCCTTCGATGCTGGTTTGACCGCCATAGCAGTTAAATTTACTTCCTAAGACTGCAAAGTGAGCTACAGGGGCAGTCAAGCCACCAAATTGGGATCACACTGAAGGAAAAAAGGTTTCCTGGATGATTTCGACACAGCTAATCAAAATTGGTCATGTGCGCCAACTTATTAGAACTAATTGGTGCTGCACCAATTAGTCAGAGTACAACTCAAATACGTTTACTGTGAAGTACCATTTGGCTGGTGCGCAGCATGGATTTTGGCTGGCCATGTCGAGATCATTCAACCCCCTATTTTATTCCATCAGACAAGTTTTTGCCATCCTAAAGATTCGGCGGTAGCGTGTTAATTTTTTCGATGCACTTTGAGGGAGGGAATGCACCAGAAAGGGAAATTGTGTGGAACGGTGGACAGAAATGAGTTTATGAATTGACTGACGTAAAAAATATGAAAGAAATTAGGAAAGAGAAGGAAAGACTGTGACAAAAATTGTAGGAAATGGAGGTTTGACTGATTCGGTGTTTTCAAACCAGTGAAAGTACACTGAAAAAAAAACTCCGGCCGTGGGAGCCGCAATTACGGGCTATATAGACATACCATCCGTTCCGGGCTCAAAGGCCGAAAATTCCGGCTGCTGGAGGCGTAGCTTTGATTGCTCCGGGTTCAGAGGCCGAAGCTACAGCTCCAGCAGCCGGAATTTTCGGCCTTTGAGCCCGGAACGGATGGTATGTCTATATAGCCCGTAATTGCGGCTCCCACGGCCGGAATTTTTTTCCGCTGTAGCTATTAAAAAAGTGACCATAGGAAATTATCATTATTTATTCTATACATTTGAAAAATTTAGGTGAAAAAGTCAATGGAAACAAAACCGAGAATAACACGCCTCAACAGGACGAATTCTCAGTAAACTCGACCGAGTGGGCCCGAAGAACGAAACGAGAAGGGAAGTAAAGTCAAGGGCACAAAATGAAGGCAAAAGAGCGGGAGAGACCCGAAGAGGGGGGGAAAGGGGAGCGCAAGGGGAGGGAGAAAAACAGGCGAGAATAGAAAAAAAGCGCGAAGATGAATGCGAGCGTGAATCGGTTTACGAGTTGGAGCGGTATTTTACTGCTCCCCCAAACTCCCCCGCTCACCCCCCTGGAGCTGCAAGTTCATTTATATGCCACGGCGAGAGTTTAATATGAAATTTCTAAAATTAGTTCCCAATTCACTCAATAGAAACAAATCCTCCCCCTCTCGCAGGATGTGCAGAGCAGTGGCTTCCGTGTTTCTATATGCACACTTTGTTCGAACTTTGATCTCCTTCGCATTGTTTCGCCACCTCCGCCGTGATTCTTTCCCGTCCAATCCTGGTTTGTCTCTAATCTCGGCTTCTGTTCTCATACATTCGTAAACATTGTTCGTGCGGGAAAGTTATCGGGAGGTGGAACTCCGCTGCACATGCATTTCCGAAAGGAGCCCCTCAGAAAACAGCTGCATGTTTTATCAGAAATAGTTCTCGGGGAGACTTAAGAGCTCCTTCGTAAATTTTGTTTTCAATCGGAAATTCTGAGATCTTAATCTATAACAACGTTTGATTAAATTAAATCAAACAAATTAATCGTTGATTAAGTAGAATGAAATGCTATCATGAGTTGATCAAATCGAATAAAATGTGACTAATTTTGATCAAATATAATTGAATGAGATGCGACTTTACTTTACCCCTTTTGAAAATGAAATTCAAGTAAATTGCACCAAGAAAATTAGGTATAATGAGGCTTAATGAAAAAAAAAAAAACACTGCCAGGACATCTCGGGTCAGTTACACGCCCATCTTCATCTGGAGCGAAAGCTGAAAGTTAAAAAGTTAACAATAAATAAGCATGCAATTGACCGCGATAGGAATTAGTGCGAACTGCCAAAAAAGTCTGCAAGTCAATTGCAGGCTCATTTTTTTGTCTTAATTTTAGCTTTTGCTCTAGTTGAGAATAGGCATGTAAATGTGCCTGGAACGTCCTAGCTGTGTTTATATTACATTTAATCTTGTCATATCTGGTAGGTTTTTCATTGAGCTGTTGCGTTGTGTTTCCCTAATCTCTTTTTAAGTCCTGCTGATTGCATGAGAGGTGCCTTTTCAGGAGATGACACGGCTGTCAAGTTCCACCGAAGACTTGTCAGCTTTATGCTTCATGCTACGTTCATGCTTTTAGCGTGAGTAGGGACAGGAAGAATTAGTGGAATTCATCCGTTTGATTTGATATCTAATTTCGAAACACACATTTCCGCCACGTTGAAAATGGTTAATAATTACGAAATAAGTAGCCGAGATTTTTCAAAAGGGTAACAAGGGATGAAGATACCGCGGAGGATGACGGATTCATTACATTTCACTCCGTCGTGGAGCCCAGGTTTCATTACACTCCTTTGCTTTTATCCAAATTAAAAGAGAGAAAAATGGGGAATGAAAGAATCTGAGTGGTGAGCGCCTCATCGCACGCTATGTACTATTATTTTGTTTCGCCGCACAGTGTTTTAAGACACTTTCAATCTGTGCTCTGCACACTGAAGAAAAAAACTCGGTGTATTTACTAAGAAAAGGGTAAAATTACCAAGAATTCAGGGTTCTATTTGATCCCAGTTTTTTCTTGGTAAAATTACCATTTATGGAATTGGTAATTTTACCGAGAAATTTCGGTAAAATTATCGAACTTTCTCGGTAATTTTACTGGACCGTGGTAAAAACGCCAATATTTTTTATCGACTGTGGTAGAATTACCGAGATAAAATGGCAAAGTAACCGGGAATTGATTACCAATCATAGTGGTATTCTTACCTGAAAAAAAAAACAGTAAAAATACCGGTTTTTAGGTAAGCTTACCAGTCTTTCTTGGTAAAATTACCAATAATTGGTAAAAAAAGTGAGATGGTAAAGGTACCAACGGAGCTTGGTAAAAACGCCGAGAATTTTTTTTTCGGTTTACACAGAGAGAAATTTCGACACAAAATTGTGGTTAATACACGAAGTAAAACACAAAATAACGATTATTTTCTTGGAGAAATGTAATAAGTAACGAGTGGTGAGCACCAACTTCGCAATCGGAGGAATTCAGTTCCCAAGTTTCTCCATTGTTTTCTGCGCTAAATTCACCACAAACTGTACCAAAATCAACATTAAAGTGTTAGTTTGTGTTTCACTTCCCATATCAACCAAAAGTAACGCAAAAACACAAATATTTTTATCTGTGAAGATGATCAAAGTATTTTGAGTGTTTTACCATAGTTCGTGCAAGAGCAACCCGTGAATCTGTGAAAACAGGGTTTTTTTTTTTTTTTTTTTTTTTTTTTTTTTTTTTTTTAATAAACAATATCACAACTCTAGTGACAGTGAACCAGATGGATGATAATACAACTTTCAATTAGTACATGGTTGACTTCCATCAGGAGAGGGGTGGAAGGGGCATTAAACTGTTTCAAATTTTAAGAAATTCTTTAGAGGAGATAAATTCATTGAAATCTTTATGAAATTTTGGTAATTGTTCTTATAGACGATAAGTGTACATTTCGTTTTTTCAATGCCTTATTGACTTCAATTAAAAATACAGATAAATACTAAAAATGTATTCGTGAACTTTGAAATTTTCCCGGGACTGATACCGCATACTTTTTTTCACAAATATAGTCAAGTTTTAGCCTTAGTGAGTAAGTTTTTCTTTGGTTTAAATACTTATTTTTGCGGTATCGATGGAATTTCAACTAATCTACTTTGGTTCGTTGATTTTACCATTAGTAGAGGGAAACTTTTGTTTTTTTAGGGTGTTTTATTTTCCGACTGCTGTTATTATCCCTCCAGTTTGAAAGTGCTCGTACTTTATGAGAACATTGTTTCCCAGTAATAATCGCCGAATAAAGATTTCATAATAATTAAAATCGGTATTTTTTTGTTTGATTTCAGGTCTATATCCACCTTTACCTGTTGCTACTCCGTGCATAAAAGCAATTAGTCCCAGTGAAGGTTGGACCAGTGGAGGGTCCACCGTTATCATAATTGGAGACAACTTTTTCGACGGACTGCAAGTAGTTTTTGGCACCATGCTGGTTTGGAGTGAGGTAATTAAATGTTTGACTATTTACTGAATTTACTAATCTACTGAATCTCGATAATGTACGTTTGAGGGAGGAGACCACAAAACTTTCTTGTCTGATTGGGACTTTATTTTTGCATAATTCTTACCAGATGATTCTAAGTAAGTACTGATTGTCTCAAAATTTAGAAAAATAACCTTACTTTGTTTTTATTTTCAGCTGATAACATCTCACGCCATTCGAGTCCAAACGCCTCCTAGACACATTCCCGGTGTAGTTGAAGTAACTTTATCGTACAAATCGAAACAGTTTTGCAAAGGCGCTCCTGGTAGATTTGTGTATGTCTGTAAGTATCGATTTTTCTTCCAAAACCAACAGAATTTCCCTCGTGCATCTGACCTCAAATAAGCTCTCAAAATTTGCATGTTACTGTGATTTGAAGATATTATTTCTTCCTCATACTCTTCAACTGAGGGTACATTGTTTGATACTCTTTGCTCTCTTAATTTAATCCTTCGTATTCATTATTGACGTATCAGATGAATTGCAGGTCATTCATATAGTTATTAACGAAAAAATACTGAATATAGATCCCTCGTGAGTATTGTAAGATCAACGATTCTTCGCCTTAGTGCGCTATAATCAAACAATGTCCGTTTTCATTTTAACCTTGCTACGTCTCTCTGTACAATTTAATATAATTATTTGATGTCGCAAAAAGAGCTCTTTTCGTCCTTTATTGAAGGATTGAGGATTATATTTTTTTCTTTTTTTCTTTTTTACAGCTTTGAACGAACCTACTATAGACTACGGATTCCAGAGGCTACAGAAACTAATACCGAGGCACATGGGTGATCCAGAAAAACTTCCCAAGGTAAAAATCCACGGTCAAATAAACCGCTTGTGTTTATGCATATTCCTTAATCTACTTTAATTTTTCTCGGATATTGAATGAAATTATCGACATGACTTTTCTGGACACTTTTTGCTTAACGTCACTTCTTGTTAACCATGTTTGTAAACCCTGTCTGGCATAATTATAAAGGGTGCTGAGTCTTTCGTACCGTTAAGATATACAAATGAAGGATTGAACAACGTTATTAGTACAATAAAATTAGCTATTGCAGTGTAGTGTAGATCCCTTACAGACACACCTTGCCAAAAACCTTGAGCCCTACGGTAGCATGCCAATCTTCTATGATACGACTTTATCAACTTAAAGGAGCTGCTTTTGCCCACGCGGCGGAATGAAGGCGATAATGTCTATTGCCAGTCAACGAGACGCCAATTCAATCGATTCTGCTAGGTGGGTGGAAGTTCAAAAAGCTATAAGCCCTGGCTCTCGTTGGTGACACATAACACCAGGGCTCATGAGTTTTCGAACTTACGCCTTCCTAACAGACACCGATTCAATTTAAGATCTAGGCGTAGTCTACTTTCATTCAAGTGATCGGGCGGAAAGGAATATCATGCATTACAGCTTGACTTGTCTGTTCTGTCAAGCACTTCAAATTCAAACCAATCTTAAATTTTAAGAACCAAGCAAAATAATAAAGTAAAATGTGAAGGTATTATAATTGAGAAAAACTGGGCGTTGTAATATTAAATTAACGCATTGTCATGTTTCAGGAAATCATCTTAAAGCGAGCAGCCGACCTGGCAGAAGCTCTGTATAGTATGCCGCGGAACAACCAGCTTGGTCCAAGATCTCCGACGGGTCCAAACTCTAGTATGTTTAACTCTTACACTGGACAACTGGCCGTCTCGGTTCCTGAAAACGGAAATGGACAATGGACTGACGGTAATTAAACACCTTTCTCCGACACAAAATCGATGCATGAAGTCGAAAAATGCGTATCTTACATTGCGACGTCGTAAGTCTCAGCTCATGTTTTCAGTTTTCAAAGGATAACTGGCCTTTTGGAATTTTCAATAAATTTTCTTCACTCCGTGAACAACACAGCTGAAAAAAGAGAGACGTAATCGGGAACCTTTTTTTAATTTCCCTCCCAAATCCGAGCGACACCTCTTTGGCAGCACTGAGCGGAGGAGCTCACGCCTCGCGCCGTCGCGCCTTCAATTTTGCAGATGCAACACGGACATCCATCAAGTACGAATAGTTGTAGCCCTGCGCCGTCATCAACGCGCGTCATTTCTCTCGCTCCATTCCCATATTTCGTTGCTTCCGTTTGCTTTATTTTTAGTGGTGCTTTAAGGGTCGCATGAGCATCATAGTCGAAGATAAGATATGTATTTTCTTCGCTCATTCTAATAAAACAATTGAGGAGTAAGTTTGATTTAGTTTCACGTGAAAAAAATTAAACATGATCGCAGTTTTTTAAACGTTGCATTTTGTTTCGCATTTTCCGCATTTATTCATCGATGTATGTATTATTTTTGCATTGAATTCATCTACATTGCTTCTTTTTCTTCGAAACGGAAAGTGGTTGCTAGAATAAGTTGACTCATACGTGTTTAATTTAAGCGGTATATTCCAAAAATGTTGTACAAAAAGCAAATTCCATACAATGAAAACGCAATGACATGCTATTGAATTGTCCTATAAAAATACACTAAAAGCTAAGCCATTAAATAAGGAGTATTATCGAAAAAATCTGAGTTAACAGCTATCTGAGAAAATAATTTTAATTATCATGCAAAGTGTGGATGGTTTTAAGGATAAGAGAGAAACTGAGCATCGTATATTTTTATTTTTTCTGCATTCTTGTGTGATAGATTTTTTATTATTATTATTTCTAATTTATTTATTTTTTTTATTTTTCCTTCTTTCAAATTTCGGTCGATATTATTGGTATTGCTATGTTGGTGCGGTGTTATTGTCATTCAAGCAATCAACCTAGGCACATCTCCCCTCGCCTGACGGAATATGAGAATAGCACTAGAATATGCATTATAAAGAGAGCATACCTATTGGTTATTTATAATATTAAAGTTGATCAACTTCTCAATTTAATTTGATTAAATTCTTCTCGTTTCAGAGGAGTATGGACGAGGCCAAAGTAGTAGCGTTTCACCGCGAGGCGGCTACGGTTCCAGCGCATCGACTCCGCATTCATCGAATGGCGGTTCTTTCAATAACAGCTCGACACCGGGAAGTGGCAACATGAATGGCTCAACTTATTCTAGTGGTAAGATTTCCACTTTGCATGACTTCTTTTCCTAAAAAAAAACATGAATTTGGACGCAAACCAATCATTTGAAGTTTCTATCCTTCCAATGCTTTCCAATGCTCAAAATGTATATAAAATAAGTACCTACCTCCTTTTTGCATGCTGAACATTTTTTGGAGACGTTAGCTCTGTATAGCTGGAGAAAACATACTTCCAAAGATAATCGAAACTAGACTGCACAAAGCAGAATAGAACCAAGTCACATCAGCCATTGCCACATTTCTCCGAATAATTTATTTATTTACGAGAAAACGGTGGTGTGGATTTTTTTGAAAATTTCAGTTGATTTTCTGACTTGAAGCAAATTCTGTTACCAAAAAAATCCGCAGAGCCATTCGTTTGTAAAAAAAATAAATTTCTCTCTGAGATTTGGCAATGACAGGTGTGATTAACAATTAATTCCTCTCTGCTTAACGCGATCTGAACATTCTCAAGTCATAGTTTGAGAATGTCCTTACGTTCCTTCTCACTAAATGCTATGCCCAATTTTACTCGCCAAAATCAAAATAATTTCCGGGTGATATTCATAGTCATTCCTTAAACAACTCTCCTCCTTAATAAGAAAGCCGCATATCGACGGTGAAACTACCGAACTACTTATCTTGGTTTTCGACGTTGCAAACTTTCTATCATAATACTGTATTTTTTAAATAAAAAACCACTCAACGTCAATTCTTGAAACCTCCCGTGATTTTTCTCTTCTTTGCGAAGAAAACTCTATGTAAACTTCAAGGAATGATACTGATTTGTAAAAAACAAATTGGGAGTGGAGCGAAATTTTTAAACGCCGCAAACAAGATACGTGGTCTGGTAGTTTCACCGTCGATATGATTTACATTATGACTAAAAAGGTTCTAGGAAGCTTTATTCAGCCTAGTGGCATAGCTAACGAGGACAATTTTTTATGAATATCAGTTAAAATTCAACCGGATATTTTAGAAGCACGACTAGTTATATGAGACCTTAAGTTGGTATTGAGTCTTCATATTGCAAATTCTGTGCTACTTTAAACTCTGCATTTTCTGTTCACTACAGGTGTTGGGAGTATAGTATCGTCTCCATTCGCCACCATGAACCCGTTCGCGCTTCCGACGTGCAATTCGCAATCTTACGGCTCGAGCCCTATCGTCGGCGCATCCAAGTAGCATCAAGAATTAATGCTATCAGCTTTCTATTCTACAAATGAAGCAGTCTCTACTTAGAAAATTAAACATAGAAATAGAACAATGCTGGGTTGTGTAATATCAGTTGGATAAACAATGTTAAAAATAGGTATTTTGTGAGGTTTTGAGAATCGCAAACACCCTAGAACTTTCCTTTGTTCACCTTAAGAGAAGCGTTTAGTTTTCCTTTGTGGAAAATATACGTTTTGGCTGATTCTAAGTCTTTTGGAGACTCAACTTTTCTCCAAAACTAATTTCCATCACGTTGCCAATAAAAAAGACGTTACACGTCTGCTAATTAGAAAATTCATTTCTCAAATTCTTCTTTTTTAAAAAACTTGAAAATCTTAAAATCTTTTTTATGCATTTCTGTAATGTGTATTTTCCTGCTCCTCTCAAATTTCTTTTTCAACGTTTCTTTTGTCTCCTCTGATTTGAAAATTGTATATATTTAAAATCTGTATTTTTTTAGTATTCGTGCAAGTTGATTATCCTAAATCATTTGTGACGGTTTGATTCTCATTTCAGAACACACAAGAGCATATATGATGTGATCGAAACCACTTATCATGTTTCACGTGGATGATTTTTGTGTTTTTTGATTAAACAAATATTCCAATGATCTGAGCTCTAACTTTAAATGCAATTAGTTGCACCTTTTAACTTCGTTGATCTCTTTTTAATAGATAGTTTTCTTATATCTTTGTACTGATAAGATGATTAGTAATAATACACTAAATAGTTGCTTGCGTTGTTACATTTCAAGTCCCCAGGTAAAGCTGTCGTTGAAAGCCCACCCTTGGAATTGTAAATTCATACATTTTATACTATTAGAATACTATTCATTTGCTCAAAAACTGGTTTAAACTACCAGTAAATCTGGAGAGAGAGTCATTTAATAAAGCTCAGTGTCGAATATTGTCAATCAAGGTGGTTTTAATGAAAAAAAGAAAAACAACAAAAACCATAAGAAGCTGATACACCTCTCAGGTGAGTTTCTGTAGTTTGTTTCCCGTGTACACAAAAAAAAATTCCAAGCTTGCCACCAGTTGATGTGGTTTGAATATCTTTACAGCTTTACATATATATAAAACAAAAAAGTAACAACTTTCCGCTGACCTGGTTCTCCGCCCTAATTTCTCATTCAATTTCTCGTTAGAATGAGTATGAGTAGGTATGTAATTTCATTTCGATAGTTGTTTTGAGTCATTTACCTCGATATCAAACATAACTTACCGTTGAAAATTTCGAACTGGGCGATAAACTTTGCATCCCTTCAATTATTTGTCGGGCTTCGAGATCGTTCAGATGATACTTACCTGGTTCCAAATTGTCTCTCCATATGAATGAAAATAATTTATCGTATCTTGTATAGTTATCAACAAGGAAGTGTCCAGATGATGTATATATGTAAAAAAAAAAACTAATTATTGTAAATTTACTTGTAATATTTCGGGGAAAAATTATGGACACGTCCTGTTGTTGGAATAAGTGTACATTACATGCGTGTATATGAATCGCAAATGTCTTTTTTTTTAAGTTTATTTTACCATTGTTACCTTATATTGTAGAAATACTGCTACAAGCATCATCATCGTCATTGTACCTACTATCATTATATATCACTTTAAGTTTAAAAGTCTTGTACAAACGTACTTAAATTAAAATTTACATCGAAGAAGAATTCAGTTTTATTTCATTCTTATTTACACTCCGAAAATCGCTGAGAAAGTTTGGTTGAAAAAAGGAAATATCCAGGATAAATTTTGGCTTAAAGAGGGACTGCACATTACACATGCTGAACAAACCTGTTCTCTGAGAGTATTGTAATTGAAATGGACAGCTAGAATCATCTTATCTGCATCTCACGACACAAACTTCCTTCAGACGTTTTCTTTTGAAAAAAAACTAAGTAACATGGCGCTCTAACTCTTTTGAAGATTTGTTCGGTAATTTATGAATAGTACATACACACCACTTTGAAACGGAGTTTAGTTTTCTACAAAAGAAGGAAAATAATTATGAACGATATTGACTATTTTTTCAGAGAGGATTATTTTTAATACACTGAGAAAAAATTTTGGTTGTAACCACCATATTAGTAGTATTCGATAAACACTCTTAATTAGTGGTTGCCATAACCAATAATAGAGATATTTTTACCATTAAATGGTAATTTTACTACCGCACACTTGTAAAATTACGATTGCTGTAGTAAAAGTATCATTATTATTGGTTATGACCACTAATAATTAAGAGTGCATATTGAACACCACTACACTGACAAAAAAAGTAGCTTGGATCAAGGCATGATAATTCTTGACTTTGCCGCCAAGAATTTTCTTTATCTTGCTTTAAGCTTGATTTTGATTTTTCTTGATTCAAGAAAAATAATGCTTGGGTTAAGCAAAAAAGTAGCTTATACTAACCAGCAAAATTCTTGATTTAAGAAGAAATACTTCTTGGCGGCAAATTTAAGATTCTTTTTTTTCCAGTGTAATATGGTTTTTTCTCAGTGTACTCTGCTAAACGTTCCAAACCCGCGGATCCTCGGGAGGAAAATCGCAACACCTCTGTTTGCGGACCCGCGGCAGTGCGGGGCTGCGGTGGCTCGCAGCCGCGAACACAAGAATAACAGGAATTATTTTTTGATGAACGCAATCACGGGCTAATAAGGGGTTGGGGGCCGGGCGGGCGGCGAGAGGGCGGGCGGCGCGTGGCCAAAAGTGATGCCCCTCAAATTACAAGTTACAAGTCGAGCGGCCCCGAAAGTGTAACAGTATCGGATCCCTTTGTGCTCCTGTCATCAGCGCCCGTCCCGGCAAGCCCTCCGCATACCCTTATCTACATCGGGTTTGTTGTTATTTCTGCTCGCGGATTTTAAGCGCCGCGCCGCTTTGTTGCTCCTTGTTTGTGTTATGTTTTTATCTATGAGGTACGACGAGGAGCGCGGGTTATGTAACCGTCGTCGCGCCCCTGGTCAAATAACGTGTTTATGCTAAAAGGAACTAAGTTGCATGCAAACCCTATGCACATAGTTCCTTTTAGCATGATTACGTTCAAATCACCCCCGCCTCCTGGTAAACTGATCCCGTGATTTCGTATCTCTCGTGTGAGAATTTTCAGATTCCCAGCTCTGATCGGAGTCAGGAGGGCTTGATGCAAAAACAAACCGGAATTAAACCCTGTTGAAAGATCGATGGGTCGGACAAAGGTTGCTGTTTAAAATGCTTTTAAAGTAGTAGAGTGGAGTCGATTCACGAATAGTATCGTGAGGGCTAAGAAACAATACCGCCTAACTGAAAATTATGGCGGAAGAATTTGCGACTTTACCGCATTCTACAACATGAAAAATAAGGAAACTGATTTTTAGTTTTTTTTCCAATTTCGCATGGGAGCACTGTAATGAAATTGTAATGTGTAAAAAAGTTGCAAATATAACCTCAAAATTACAAAAATGGCGAATTTTTTTCTTCGCTCAGTAAAATCGTCAGTTTGTAGATAGGCCGTATTGTTCCTTAGCCATCGATTGGTAAAATGATCTGAGGAAACCATTTTTTTACCTCTCATTGGAACTTTTTCGCCAAATTAGGGAGGGAGAGAGATTGGTAGTTCAAGTTTAGAATCTATAATTTGTGACTTTCTGCCAACAGAGCTCGGTTTGAGTCTAGTGGACTTCGGATTTGATGTGAGTGGAAAGTGAGCATAGACTTCTACAAAAAAAAAAAAAACAATATTTTCTACAATTTGAGTTAACAAAATTTTTGTAAGTCTATCATAGTCTACGCAAAATTTTGAGGGGGAAAATGCACACATTAAGGTACATATATGATTATGCACTGTGGTGGTCCATTCTACAATGCTAGTTTTTTAGAGAGAGATCTAACCATGAGTGGATTTTACACCCCGTGGGCAAAATTGTCAAAAGTCTCAAAATTACGACCCGGTCACTTTTTTTTTTTTTTTTTTTTTTTTTTTTTTTTTTTTTTTTTTAATGCATATATATATTCAAGATTTTGGATGTGCGTGTTGCATATCCAAAAACTGGAGGCGTTTCCATTTTATAGGGACTGGACTGATTCTGAATTGACTCTAACGTCTTGATGCAACTATTCGTGAACCGCGGATGTGCGCGTTGCCTACTCAAAAATTGAAGGAACTTTCGTTTTTCTCACTTCTTCAGAGATGCACGGGACTCGTCAGATGGAACACCTCATTAATAGAGTACCGATATAAGTTTGTTATAATAAGTGACCAGTTAGTGACAAAAAGGCAGAGTGTCCAAGGCCAATAATTAGATTGGTTCTTCTAGGATCTGAAATTATACTCTGAAATTTAGATGTGAGCAGCTTATAGTTCAGCTAAAATGTTGTTTTCATGGTATGAATAGTTATCCTACCAAATCGGTTTAGAAATGAATAATTCAGAAAATAAGAAAATACACATCTCTGTCTCTTCGCTTTTCAAATAATATTTCGACGCTGAAACTGCCAAACCACGTCTCTTTTTGCGCTGTTTTAGATAACTTTTGAAAACGAAGAACAAATCAACGTTATTTTTTGAAGTTTTAAAAGAATTTCCTTCGCACGGAGAAGAAAAATCACGGAAGTTTTTAAAAATTAACAGCGAGTAATTAAATATTTAAAAAATTAAGTTTAACAGGAAGCCTGAAACTTCGCACAGTAGATCGAATCAATCAGAAATGTCGGACATGAAATTCTTGACTAAAACTGAAAATTTAGGTGTTTATTTCGTTACATTTTAATTTCAAAGGGTGTTTCTGAAAGGAAAGTCTACGAGAAAACCAATGGAACCACTTTTAAAACCTCTGTGTATGATTGAAGTTATAAGCTTTTAAATTTTCCAAATTTTGTCCGACCTCTCCTTTTGACTCATCCACTGTGTGTCGCAAGCCGAGGTAGATTGTTTGGGAGTTTCAACGTCGATTTGTCACTATAAAAAAGGGGAATAGAAGATATTTTCAACGAGAACGCAAGTATTTTAGAGATATTTACATCACTTTTTATTACAAATCACTCGTATATATTTCATTGAATTAATTTTCGATTTACTTGAAGTGCGTGCGCACAACTCTTAAGACACAAGAAAGTAACAATTATATTGATTTCAAAACAGGCAACTAGGCTGTTGCGAAAATAAGCTAAGCAATGGCGTAGGACATTCATGACCTCTGAGGCGGATCCAGCGATTTGGCAACCCCGGATTTCCTCCATTTAAACCTATGCTAAATAATCGATTCTTTTCGGAGCACATGGCCCCTCCAAGAATCGATATTTTTCTATAGGTTTAAATGGAGGAAAGACAATGTTGCCCATTCGCTGGATCCGCCAATGCGTGACCTAGGGCCAAGACGATTGGTATCAGAGGTCTAAAGAGAGGGTATAAATTGTCTTAACATTACCTCATTAATACAGAGCATGTGTTATTGCTTTGTATCACAATGAAACCAGAATCATACAAACTAAATGTGACATAAAAATTCTCCCTAACTCTAGGGAGCCTGTGTTCTACAAGCTAAAGGAATCAAACGCATGGATCTTCAGCACTTCAACTCCGCAACCCGCGATGATGCAATGCATCAACAGTCGTGATCAGTGGGGACTCCACTGACCCTTAATGGTAACGGCATTGTCTATGTGCCCTTTGCATGCGAAATTTTCGCGAATTTCGCGAATTTTCATGCGAAAATGGGGGAACATTTCATTTAGACTCCACTGAAAGTTGGAGCTCTGAGAAGACGAACGACTACGTCAAATTCTTTAAGCCTGACGTCATTTTTATAAGGAGCAAAAAAGAAATCCAGCGGTTTAAATCTTTTAAAAATGACCCGATTAAGAATGAGCGATTCGAAATTTTTTTAACAGAGTCAAGTAACTTAGATTCACATGCATTGGGGGGGAGGGGGGGGGGTGAAAATAAATAAAATAAAAGAGGAACTAGAAAAAAATCAACTTTACAGACATCCCCTGGTATGACAACTATATCTCTACCATTATTTTTGCAATTATTAACATGCCAGTTTTATGTTTTGGGATGTACTGTATCTTTTTTGAAATATTGTTATAAAAAACCTCATCCTTTGTCTTTTCTATATGTGTTATTGAGAAATCAATTAATAGTAATGACATTTTTAATTTTGACAGATTTCTGATTACAGTGCCATTGTATAAAGATGTTCGTCTGATTTTTGAAGAAAATGCTACTGAATGTATTATTCCTCAGATAGTGGGGCGTTGATTGCTAATGCTTATGTGAAGCGGCTGCATCAATAGTTTGAGAGAAATCCAGGGAAAGGTCGGTGATTCCTGTCTGTCAGGACGTCGGATGATGAGCTGTGTCACACAGCTCAGCTGTGTTTTCATGAAAACGGTGCTCAGCCCGGTAGATCTAGGGTTGTTGACATAGTAAGCTGCAAATGTTCAAAAGATCATCCGTGTTTCCTTCCTTCAGTTTCATGATGATCGTGGCCTCCTCTGACCTCTTTTGGCAGTGAGAAGGAAATCCGGAATTCAGCGGCTTCCAACTGGAGCATGGATTCAAGAGCGCTTTTCCAGGGATGATGAATCCATGAGCGGGTGCGGATGCTTCCAGGGCCTGAAATCCATGAGACACAGGCAAATTCAGTAGCTTGATGTAAAATTTTGGAGTAATAACGTGGAACTG